GTCTGCCTTCTTCTCTTTCTCCTCCTCCTAATATTCAGGTAATTCTCTCAGAACTGAGAAATATGGTGTGTGGAACACATTCATCGTCCTTCAATTGGGCAGTACAGTGTCTGGTAACATACCAGATGACCAGTTCAAATTTCTGCCAATCCCCAAGAAAAATGTAGCTCCACAGTGAGCGAGGTCCCACCCACCCTGCTCAGACACCTGGAGCTTGTCATTGATTTACCCTCTCAGGTCAAAGTCTGCCCTTTGAGCATTATCCCCAACTTTCTTTCCTTTGAAAAAATCTCTTCAAACTCAAAAGGGACTCCAAACTCACCAAAAGGGAGTTTGTAGATGAACAGTCTTCTCTGGGCATGGTGACACATGCCTGTAATCCCGGTGGCTTGGGTGGTTCAAAGCCAGCCTTAGCAATTTAGTGAGGCACTAAGCATCGTGGTGAGGCCCTGTCTCAAAAGTTAAAGAAAAAAAAAAAAAAAAAAAAGGACTGAGGATGATGTGACTCGGTGAGTAATCATCCCTTGGCTTAATTCTTGGTTAAAAAAAAAAAAGTAGAGTGAGCTTCAATATTTAATTCCTGGAAGCCCTAAATTCAGGTCTTGTAATGGAGTCAGGTCAGATTTTAATGACAGAGAGCAGCAAAATTATAGTAACCTGGTTCGCAGTAACACGACATAGCTTCCTGAAATCTTGACTTGTGCATTTGCCCACGGTCCTGCTGATCATGGGAAAGGGAGACTTGTGTCCTCCATCAGTTGACCTTGCTTTGATTTTACCTGGGTCCAGACTGACTTAATAATACACCACATTGGGACCATGGGTGTAATCCAGTGGTCGAGAATGTGCTTTGCATGAGTAAAGCCCTGAGTTTGATCTTCAACACATACAGAAAGGAGAGAAAAGGAAAGGAAGAGATAGTTACATTGAGAATTTCCTATACAGATGCTGGGTTTTTGTTGTTGTTGTTGTTGTTTGTTTGTTTTTTTTCTTTTTTTTTTTAATATTTATTTATTTATTTATTTTTTAGTTTTCGGCAGGCACAACATCTTTGTTTGTATGTGGTGCTGAGGATCGAACCCGGGCCGCACACTCGCCAGGCGAGCGCGCTACCGCTTGAGCCACATCCCCAGCCCAGTTTTTTTTTCTTTTTTAAAAGAACTAGAGGGCGGTTTCCCAGGCAGCTGCAACTTGCTGATGTGTTCCTATTTTCTTTCTCTGATAGCAGAAAGATGGCTATGAACATTAGTTAAGATCCGTGAACTTTGCCTTGGGTATCTCTATCCTAAGGAGTGGTCTTGGATACCTACTCTTTCAAAATGACCTCAATTTCCTAGGTAGTATCTACATGACACTTATTCTGTATTCTGAATCAGAGCTTTCGTGTTTATACCTGTATGTTTTCCTGGTGATCTTTAGCCAGGGAAAAACAGGAGTCCCTATTAGTGCATGTGGGCTTTAGAAATTTGAGGGTTTGGGATATTACTATGAATATGATCCTGTAGTCAGAGTCTGAACCCTGAATCTCTCCATATGCACTTTAGGCCAATAGGCAGACCCAGGGTACAGCCAGGAGAAGATGTTCATCAGGGCAACCACCTGCCATTCACATGTACCACCTACTCCAGGTTGACCCTTCACAGCTTGTGCCAAACCTAAAGACACCACTCTACTTTGCTCTGAAAATCTTTATCTGTCCGTATCAATAACCTGGATTTGGTGGGGTGCAGGGCACCACTGTAGAAGATGCACCTTTGGAAGCCGAATACGTCAGGCAGGAAGTCTGTTGCCTAGGATATTGTTAGAGATCCTGGGAAAGATTTATTTTCTAATCAAATGTGTCGTGATTCTGCAAGAGGGATGGTTTCCCATTCATTGATATCTGCTCTCTGGAACTTCCTAGTTCCTCTGCTCGCAGACACGACAGGCCTTCCCAACATCACTCACCATCAAGGAGAATTGCCCCTTACCTTCCTGCGTCTTCTCATTCTCCTGGCCATCTTCTTCAGACTGGAGACACGAAAGCAATGCAGGTGTGTGTGGAGAAAATTTCTCAGAGGTGCAAGACTAAATATCTGAGAAGTCCTGCTCAGGCGAGTCTCAGAGCCTTCCCCACCACCAGTGTGGAGATTGTTACTTGAATTCCCCTCTCTCAGTTCTTTGGAACCCCCGGATATTACGGTGGCATAAGTCAGAAAGCTACCAGACAACTGTGCCGTGGCTGATCCCTGCCTATTTCCTTTTGCCAAAGGCTATAGGGATGAGTTTTCCTAAGTCAGAAGTGCTAGGAGGACATATGAATCCCTACCTCCCACATCTGCTCACTCTCCTGGGGGAACAAAATTTCACCCAACCTGGGAAAGCCAAAATCTGGGAGGACGACAGGACATCTATAGAGGAAAGATGCATAGACAGCTGCAGCGTGTTGAAAGTCCATTTTCTGCAGACGGACAGATGCTCCAGAAATCTCTCTGTTTTCCCCAGAGGGGAGTCCTCTCCAGTAGGAATGAAGGATACTCTGGAGAACAAGAGCCACAGCAGCTCTGAATTGCTTGGTGAATGAATTGGCCAAAGCATATCATTTTTCCCCTCATGGTTTAACTCTAATGTAATTAGCCAAGAGAAGAGCCAACTTTTATCCACTGCTAAGAAAGTTATGCTTTTGAGAAATCTGTCCTTTGAAAATGTAATGGACCATCTCCGTCCTGCCCAGCTTTTGCGGCTATATAGCAACAGACGAGGAGCTCTGAATCTGATATCCCCAGATAATTTCCGAAAACTTTGAACCTCCAAAATCGTCTCTAAAAAAACTCTTAACCTTTGTGTATGTCCGTGTTCTGGGGAATAATGTGTCTCTGTATTACATCAAGATCTCAAAGGACCATGTAATAACAAAGAGCCATTTTTCTAAAGAGTCACCAAATTTGCAGCCCGTCCACTGCCAGACGGGGTCATGTCTTACAGTTAAACCCTGGGGTCTGTAGAATGTTCCAGTGGTATCACTTCTTTCCTGACTCCAGTCCTGCCACTCATTCCCTTCATGGTCACATAATCGAGTTTTTCTCAAACACAGCTTTGATTTGAACCACTTTCATCTTTCTGTCTCTGATGAAAAGCTCACTCAGCACATTCACTGTCCACTGTTCTAGAGGGCAAAACTTCAAAGGGGTCACAAGACAGCGCGCATGTGGATGCAATTTCTTGAGCCCCCTCTCATCTCCCATGCATACAGCAAGGCAGAGTCTGTCCTCTGGGCTTCCCGCTGCCCCCCCCGGGCCCCACTCAGAAACACATCAGAGAGAAAGGCCTACACCTCGTAGCTTGGACAGGCTCTGGTCTGCTTCACCTCTTATGCTGATGTATTTATTTCAGGGCAGAAGGCCTTGGAGGAGCGGTCACATCACGCAACTAAAGAGAACTATCTGGGGGGAATTGGAGTCTGAAATCACCAGTAAAAAGTATGAATTTGTCTGTTTTATGCTTCTGTTGGCATTCCTCCCTAGTGCTGCTGACCCAGGACGACTGATTGAGACACCCTTTTTAGTCTGACCTAAATATCTTCTGAATCGTACCTCAGCACCCCGCACACTGATGGCCTCGTGGGGTTGGGCAGAATCCAACATGAGGGGAAAAAAAGGCTTTTGCTGGGCAAGCGATCCTGGTGCTGGTGAAACTGGTTTTGCCCGTTGAGGTCTATGGTGGTCATTTTCCTCCTGAGCTGCCCACCCCACCCCAGATGCATTCTCTGCCCTTCTCGGCTGCTCTCATGCATCCGGCAGGACCTGGTGCGCGGTTGGACTCCATCCACAGGAGACACCAAAAGGGGGTCAGACATCAGGAAGAGAGTCAGAGTGTCTGTGTCCCTGTCCCGCCGTCTCTGGGAGCAGCTGCACCCTCGGCAGTCACAGCATCTCCTACAGCCCTTCCTCAGTGGTCAGTTTTCACTGTCCTCTGGGCTTTTGTAACCGTCCCTCCTCCTCTGGCTTCTTTAGCACTGAGGGTTGTAACAGCTTCACACGGTGGCTGGTCTCTGCATGGTTCATTGTTCTGAGCCTATTACTGTAGTACTGCCTACATTTCCCTTGGCAGCCCTTTTGTTAAAATTCTTTACTTCTTTCTTTACTTCTTCTTCCTTCCACCAACACTACTACTACTATTCTCCTCCTCCTCCTCCTCTTCTTCTTCTCCTCCCCTCCCTCCCTCCTTCTCTCTTAATTGGGGCTGGGGATTGAACTTCATGCACGAAAAGCTCTACGACCAGCCCTGAGTTCCTCCTTTTAACTAAGGTGGATTCTCTTTCCAGCCTGATACAAGAGCTCTCTTCCGAAATTTATTCTTGAACTTTGGAGTGTAAGAAGACAGATCTGGTCTCTCCCATTCCTGTGTGTGTTGAGGTCCTTCAGACCACTGTACTGCTAAAGCCTCAAGTAGCCATAGGGTGGTATGACTTCTTCCTTCCTACGTGTATCTGGCTGAAACATTTCATGAAGACAGGTGACTTGGGTTGAGCAGAATTTATATCTTTCTGGGACCCCGGACAATACATAATGCCATCTCATACCATCCTAATCCCATCACCATCTCTAACAAATTCCTGTTTGTCTTTCACGTGGTCTGGCTGGAGCTCTGCAGAACACATCAGTGTTGGCATGGTGTCATACTATTAAAGACAGCATTAAAAAAAAAATGTGCATCTTAAGTAATAAAGAAGGTTTCTTTTTGGAAGAGCCCAAGCAAGTGTTTTGACTCTCAGCAAGTCCAGAACTGAGCATTTGCAGACAGAGCTGAAAGAAGTAGAAAGCGTACCTACAGCGTGAAGACATCTAGCCTTTTAGGAAGCACTTTTATCAATACACACACATCTGAGCAACTCTGTCAAGGAGAAGAATAGTCACTTTCTCAGCTCTCATGGAGTCTGGGTGGGGACAAAGCTAGCTACTTCCTTTTTTCCTTTTTGATGAAATCCCTGCTGAACTACAGGGCCAAACCCCAGCTTCATCCAGACAGACAGCCGCTCTGCAGACCCGAGCTGCCCCTGACAGTATCTGGGAGAACATCTTGCCTCCAACCTCATGCTGCTGTGGCTACAGCTTCTGGTCCTTGGTGAGTAGGCTGCTAGAGCAGGACCAGGTTGGACCCAGGGGAGAACTCTCTGTTCTGGGGCACAACTCTCTCTGGTGCAATGAGTAGGAATGGATTTCAGACCCTGACTCAGTACTAGCAGACATCACGCAACTCGGTATTAATAAAAGCAGGGTCCCAGGAAGTCAAAAGGACCTTGCATCCCTTTACCAAATACCAAATACATCATTTCTGCTTTGATCTCTAGGGAAATTGGGAGGCTTCTTTAAAAGAACTACAAAGGGATTTTCTGTTGGGGTGAATTCCGTTTCCAGCCCACATGGATCCTACCTCCCCCAACCCCGACTCCCACTCCATGCTATCACATTTTGGGCGAAATTCTCACCTCCCTGAACTTTTGGATAGGTTTCATGTCTTGCTGATCGTAGATGAGATGATGGCTTTTGTTGTAAATACGGCCCGATACTAGGTACAGAATTGGGATGGAGGGAGAAGCAGTGTCGATGAATATGAAAGGCACCCCCTTTTCCTTTGTGACTTTTCCTGGGCTCCGTGTGACTCCCAGGTAGGCAACGTGTCCCAGACGAAATAGCCAGGAAACGAAAAAAGGTAGGAGAGGAGCAATAAATATTGAAACTTCTCAGGATGTAACCAACAAAATGACAAGCTTTTGGTCACGGGTACGGACAATGCTTGTGAACTGGGATAGTAAAATGAACATTGGGTTCCACGGGGTATTGTTTGTCAGTGCGGGGAGGAGGAAAAAGAAATAGGTAGAATGAGGGAGGGGGTGTAAGGGACGGAAAGGGGGGAGGGAGAGACAGAAGGAAAGAGCGAGATCATGGGGAAGTGCTCAGAGGGTGGTAGCTTTTTTAAAAGTGTGAGGATCTCAGTGATCTGCAGTGATCTCTCCGACTCTGTTCCCCACAGCTCCTGCCAGTGTCCAGTCTGGTGAGTTACTCTTCTCTTTGTTTTCTTAAATCTCTGGGAATTAGATTCACTCTATCAGGCCTGGGAGGGGTGGCCTGTCCTAACCTCTCAGCTGAGGGCTGCAGGGATCTGGGCCAAGACTAGGGTGGAGAGAAGGAGGATGCAGAGCCTCCCTCTCCTCCCCCTCGTCCAGCTACAGCAGGACCCTCCAATGCCACATTCATCTCTGCTTGGCGGCCTCCTTCCTCCGTGGGCAAGAAGACCCTGCCCTGAGTTTGACAAAGCAACACACGATTTCCCCTTTCCTGTTGAGCCCTGAGATAGGAAAGAAGATAACTGTGAAGGGAAAGCAAAGCATGCACTGTGTGGTTGGGAAAACTTCTTCCTGGTTCCGGCTGCAGGGGCTCAAAGTTCCCAACAAGAATCCCTGGAAACAGTGAGGGGAAGCATATTTATAACAGAGTAGAAACAAGGGGCCAAGGAGGTTTCCTGCAGAAAACAAGAATGCCCTGGATCTTCTAATTGGACTGTAAACTCTTCCATGCCTAACTTGGTTTTCCTTAGAATTTTAATATAGTGACATTAAGAGAAAAAGTCTGGTTTCATATGAGACCGGTAAAGCACATTTTCTTCTTTATTCATGCCTTTGAGAATAGATCCATCCTCTAATAAGAAAAGGGGTGATGCTTGTGTAGCGAGGCTTGTAACTTTAAGCAAGAAGGTCCTTAAATTTGTCTCTGGAGCACCTTCATGGGATCCAACAAATTCCCTGAAATTATGATAAAATGTGTATATACGTACAGTTGTGCCCGCATCTAGGGAATGGGTCTGTAGGTAAGATGTCAAAACTTAATGACCAATAACCAGGTATCTTACGGTTAAATACTTATTGCAGTTCAGGAAAACCTGGTTTTAGCATTTCCCCCTGTCTCTTGCCCTATCATTATTACCAACTTGGTCACATAAATATTACTCCTTAAATATTTCTTTAATCAAACTGATTATATCTCTATAATCATCACTGAAAAATCTTCCCCACTGTCAATTTGGAGGAAGAACATATTTGGGCTCCCACACTCCTCTCTCTTTATTGATGCTGTCCCCCCTGCCACCCACTCCCATTCCCTATTCTACTGGCAGAACTTTCAAAGTGGTTAAATGACGTACAGAAGTTGTCCTTGAACTCGTTTGATCACTTTGCACTATTCAGAACAAAAAAAAAAATCGAGTGTCTTAAATATATTAAATAGATTCATGGAAATAGTGAACCTGGTAAAGATGTACAAACCCAGAAAATTTAAAAGATGAGAAGATCTATTATCTACAATGGAAGTTCAAAGGGCTTTCTCCCCATCTCCTTGTAAGTCTCAGTTTGGAGACTGTGACCTAGACTTCACTGTGAGAGGATCTCTCTTTGGAGACAGGACCCTGGGCAGGGTCCCGCTACCCCTCCTCCGTAACCTCATACCAGAGCACTGAGCTAGGCACACAGCCTGCACAGCACTTGCATGCCCTGTCTCCTCCCTGCAGGGGAATGGCCCAGTGTTCAGGTCTGGGATTAGGTGTTTTTATTTTTTATCAGAACAACAAACATTTTCCCTGGAATCCCACGATTCCAAATTGACATTTGAGCCCATATTTCTAGTTCTGTTGCCAACTGAAATGTCCCCCCAAAGCCCAGGTCTACAGGGCTGGGTCACAGAACAGCATGGTGGCTGGCTCTCCTTCCCTTCTTCGGGAAATGGTCTACAGGCTCCTCCGGGTCTACAGGCTCCTCCGGTCGTGCTTTCTTTTCCTGCTGGGGGCAGCGCCAAAGCACCAAAGCTGCTCATTATCTCCCTAATGAGTACTCCCCAGGGGAGACTATGACCCGACAAGTGGAGGGGCCCACTTCCCTTCTCATAGGGATCATTCAGACCCATTCATGAAAACGATTCTCAGAGTCTCTGAAGAAAGCATTGCAGAGGGAACTCGGGAGATGAAAGATGTAGGTCCCCGGGCCAGTGTCTCAGTGGCCCCGTTTGCTTCATGCAGGGACAATATCAGAGAGAAGGTCTTTGGGTTGATGGTACCACTAGACAGAGTCTCCAAGGAATGAAACACGCAGAGAGAGTTAATTATGGCTCCTGTAGGGACATGCAGTCACCTGGAAGGAGATGCTAGTGGGATCATTTCAAATCCATATTTATTCCAAGTGTTCATTGCTGGGAAGAATGGCATCAAAACCTGTTAACAGACAGAAAACTAACAAGATATTTTTTGGACAGAATGCCAGGGAGGTGGAGCTCAACTTTACTTAGCGGGGAGACTGACAGAGCCAGCATGTCCCAAGGCAACTGCAGATGCTCAGACTGACTCATGGTAGAGCACTGTCCCTTCCCCTTAGAAGCAGAAGGGGAGGCACCAGGGCAGGGGGCAGCCTTGTCACTGGGTACCTTTGCTTCTTTTGTAGGCTGGCTGAGTATCAGCATACCATACAATGTCTACGAAGGAGACCAGGTGGTTATAAGATGCTCTGGGGAAACAAATGACAAGATAAATAGACTAACGTACTACAAGGACGGCTTTCAAATATCCACTTACCATAATGCCACAAGCCACACCATTTCAAATGCAAGACGCAGCGACAGCGGCTCCTACTTCTGTAAGGCAGAGAGGACATTATTCCCTCCTATAGGTGTGACAGAAGAGACAAGAACTACGTGGCTCATTGTCCGAGGTGAGGCCCTCACTCTTGGACTGGATGAATCTGGGAAGGAATAGGAGTCTGGTGGGAAGGGGAGGGGGCCGGGAAGAGAAGACCACACAGGGAGGGAGAAATGGTGGGTGGGCGGAGAGTCCTTGAACCTGGGTCTGTGTGTTGGGTTCTTTGGGCCACTTCTCATCAGGAACTCCACACTCCACAGGTAACGGGTAGTCTCTGTGTCCTCTCTCCCCATAGAACTGTTTCCGACCCCTGAACTGAGAGCCAGACCCCTGCGACCCACAGAGGGCTGCTCGATGATGCTGTCCTGTAACACCCAGCTGCCTTCAGCGAAGTCATCGACCCAGCTTCGATACTCCTTCATCAGAGATGGCCACACCCTGAGGTCAGGCTGGACCTCAGCGAGGGTTAAGATCCCAGCGACACAGAAAAAAGACTCGGGGCATTATTGGTGTGAGGCCAGGACAGCGTCTCGTCGTGTCTCCAAGCAGAGCCGCCCATCCTATATAGAAGTGCAGAGTGAGCATCGAAGGGCTGGGCCGCCAGGGCTGGGCCGCCAGGGCTGGGTCAGGCAGGGCTGGGTCAGGCAGGGCTGGGTCAGGCAGGGAAGAACGGGGCACAGCCTGGACCACGGGCTCTCTTCTCAGTAGTGCTCCCCAATCCCTATGGATGAGGGGGCTACCGTGATCCGCCTGGACTCTTCTCTAATAATCTCTGCAGGGACATCGTTTCCCCATAACTTTGCTTTACCTGTCAGAGAAGCAGTGATAATAATAATCCCTCTCTGGAGCATTTACCATGAAACGAGCACTGACCAGCAAACCAAGAAGTAAATAAAAAATCATGGTGTCTTGTTTGCAAGGAGTGACCCAACTAGGATGCACGTTTAACAGAGCAACGAAGGCACTAAGTAACAATAATAATTAATAATGAAAGAAATGATTACAACAATCCCCCGGCACTTATAAAAGGATCACTGTATGACAAACCCAATTAAAGCTGTGGTGCTCGGTTCTAGGAGAATCTCTCTGATGGTCATAAATATCTGCAACAGGGAAGACTTATGCACATTCACCATGTAGAAGGCACTTTTCAGAGCACTTTAACATTGAGTTATTATAGCAGCCCTATGAAACAGTACTGTGATGAGTACCTGTAATGTATGCACTATTATTATCCCCATTTTGCAAATGAGAAAACTGATGGCCTAGAGTCATTTACAAGACTAACCGAAGGGAACCTAGAGCTGCAACTTGATCCTGGTGGCTCTGGTTCCAAATGTATGCACTTTTAATCCTCTTGCACCACTTTCTACCTAACAGTGGCCGAGGAGAGGGTATCAATAAGAGATGTTGCCGAACGGCTTCATAGCGAGAGGTGCTTTCTATCTGCATCTCATTTAATCTCCATGAGAACTCTGCGAGGTTAGGATGATTACCCACATGTTTACGTTGGAGAAAAACGAGGATTGGAGGTCTTGACGTTCCCAGATCATGCGGTGAATGAGTGGCAGAGTTGAACTGTAACTTCCGCCCGCCTGCCTCCCCAGGCTGTATGATCTGCCACCACTCCTACTGCCCCCACGCACCAGGAGGTCAGGAGAGAGCACGTCATTGTAGGCTCTGGACATTAGTAAGGATGTACGATTGTTACTGACTGGAACATTGTGGGGTGGTCCTGCATAACGTCCCTCAATATATTATCTCCCCGCTTAAAAAAAAAAAATACTCAGGCAAGTGGAGTGGACTCTCCTCTGCCTAAACATTGCATTCAAATATTACTTGCCATAATGCTCCAAAGGTGGTACTGGACTCCACCACCGCCCTGCCTTCCCCACACCTGTCCCTCAGCTGCTGTCCCCTCTTGTGTTCCCGCAGGGGTCCCTGTGTCTCAGGTTTCCATGAAGACCCAGCCCCCAGGGGTTCAGGCAGTTGAGGGGGAGATGCTGGTCCTTGTCTGCTCCGTGGCTAAAGGCACAGGGGTCACCACATTCTCCTGGCACAGAGAGGACACATCGGAGAGTCTGGGGAGGAAGATGCAGTGTTCCCAGAGAGCAGAGCTGGAGATCCCAGTCGTCCGGGGGAGCCACGGCGGGGGATTCTACTGCACAGCAGACAACAGCTACGGCCCCGTGCAGAGCCAGGTGGTGAACGTCACTGTGAGGGGTGAGGAGCGTTCCTGCAATCAGTCAGCCAGCGACTCCCGATGGGGGTGGGTTTTCTCCTGCAGCAGAGGGCACTCTAAAAGAAATGACAAGGCTCGGGGCAGAAGGTGCATGGGAGGGTATCCTTGAGAGGGTGGAGGGGGCAGTGCCAGCCACGGAGGCACTGAAGGAGGGTGAGAAGGTGGTCAGGAGGCAGGCTCCCTGGCGTGCTCAGAGGCATGCTGTCCAGAAGTCTCCATCCGAGCTCCTCTGAGCTCCGTGGGGGAACCGTCTCTGCGAGGTTAGATCAGGAGGTGCCACCTTGAGAAAGGCTCAGGAGGGAGGGATTCTGGAGGACCCTCCAGTGAGAGTGGAGGGCTGTGATTCCCACCTCCCTCTCCGATGGCGCCTCTGCCTCTGCAGTTCCAGTGTCACATCCCATCCTCACGTTCGGTGCCCCCGGGACCCGGGCCTTCATGGGACCTGTGATGGAGCTTCACTGTGAGGACGGGAGAGCGTCTCCCCCCATCCTCTACTGGTTTTATTACGAGGACGTCACCCTGGGGAACAGCTCAGCCCCTTTTGGAGGGGGAGCCTCCTTCAACTTCTCCCTGACTGCAAATCACTCTGGATCCTACTTCTGTAAGGCTGACAATGGCCTGGGAGCACGGCACAGTGAGCTGATGAAACTCAGTGTCACAGGTAGGACCAGCAATGGCGTGTGCCCCCTTTCCATTGGAGTTCTCCTCCCTCCAGTCAATCAGAGGTCTACCAGAAGTCTCTCAGCTCCCCAGGCCCTCCTTTGGGTCTTAACAACGTCACTGGTCCAAAGCTTACAAACACCTACTATCTGTTTCCTTTTCACCTAGATAACAAAATATGTGCAAAACAGACAATTTGCAAGACACTGTATTGGGGTCAGGTCAGTGTAAGGAGAGGGGTGGGTGAGCATGGATAAGGGAGGAAGGCATCTCCAAGAAAAAAATCAAGGAAAGACCTTGCACACCCAGAGCTTCCAGTGAACGATTAGATACAACCAACTCTTGTAAACACCTAAGGAAAAAGTGGGGAAACTAGGAGCAGAGCACTTCCTGGGGTTTAAATTTTTACTAGGATCGCCTCATTGATTTGGTGGTGGAGGCTGAACCCAGCTAAGCCTGCACTCTACCGCTGAGCTACCTGCCAGCCCCTTGGCATCCTCATTAAAAGTGAGTTTTCTACTTTTAAGGATAGATTAGCCCCAGAAGAACAATTTCAGGAGTTTCCACAATTCCTATGTCCTGCAGCGATTTAAAACAATGTCGGAATTATCTGCAACTTAAAGAGTCTTTGGAATCAACCCCAACAACTTTCTAAAGCCTGGTAGATTTTTACCTTCCCTGTTCAATCTTTTTTTTAGTCATTTCAAATTTTCCAACGCTTTAAAACACAAATTAAGCCAGAAGTGATGGTGCCCGCTGTAATCCCACAACTCAACAGGCTGAGGCAGGAGGATCGCAAGTTAGAGGCCAGCCTCAACCACTTAGCAAGGCCCTGAGCCACTTAGCGAAAACTTGTCTCAAAAGAAAATAAAAGGGGGGGGGGACTGAGGATGTGGCTCTAGTGGTTTAGCACTCGCAGATTCAATCCCTGGTACCAAAGAAAAGGAGAGGTGGGGGCTGTCGATTCCAAAATGCACCTATTACTTTTCTGTTTGCAGATGCTTCTCCCAAAGTCCGCTTGATGAATGGTCCCCACCGATGTGAAGGGCGGGTGGAGATGAAAAAGGAAGGTCACTGGGGTACTGTGTGTGACGACGGCTGGGACATGAAGGAAGTGGCTGTGGTGTGTCGGGAGCTGGGCTGCGGAGCAGGCAAACGCACACCTGCAGGTGTGTTGTACCAACCGGGGGCAGAAGAGGCCCAGCCTGTGCACCTTCAGGAAGCCCGGTGCAACGGGACAGAGAGGACACTGGCCGAATGTAAGCAGACCAACACCTTCAACTGTGGACACGAGGAGGATGCAGGGGCCGCGTGTGAAGGTGGGTGATGGCCGATGGGAATCGTGGACCCACCAGCTTCTGCCATAGGCTGCTCCCACCCACTCGCTATCGCCCCTTGCCCTTCAAAACACGCACCCACTCTTGTGTTGCGTGTGATCAGGGCCAAACCATCAGTTCCCATTAGGTTTCCCCAGAGTCATAAAGGCCTCTCCTAGGTCTCCGATGATTACTGCCTTTCTGTCATCTTATTAATAACCCTAACCATTCGTATTTTTATCGCCATGGATTGGGGCACAAGGCCCAGAAAATAATTATGAAACCGTGGAGTTACATGGTCTGAGTGACTTTCATCAAGGTGACCCACTTCCTTTGTTCTATAATCTCTTCTGTTCTTCTGAGCTCTCTCCTAAACAAGCCTATTCATCAAAATCAAGCCCTGGATTCTAGTGGGAGAGGATGGGGGTGGGGGACATGTTGGAAAGACCCCGGGTCTGTCAACTGAGTCACGCCACCAACCACAAAGGACAAAGCTCATGGAGGGTGAAAATAAAATGAGAGCTCTGACGGTGCCGACACACCCGCACAGCCAGGGAGACTGCTCTCTCCAGTCCCAGCGCCCAGCCTCCAGGGAACCCTACAGGCCAGAAGTAGAGAAATAGCCTTTTAGAGGTCCTCAGTGAGAAGAAGAACCTTTAGGGCCAGCGGCCCCTGCCCACTCTGAGGAACTGGTAAAGGCTGCAGTGAGTTCAGGGAAACGGAGTCAGTACTGGGCTCTGGAGAGGACCTAGAACGTGGAGTCCACCGTGCAGAGCCTGAAGCCCACCTTTCCCTCACACCAGCCCGGGAAGCAGCCAGCTTCTCTGAGGCTCATTCTCCTTGACATGAAGTGGGATCATGTCGAGTCCAACTTCCCCGCCCGGGGGGGGGGGGGGGGCGGTAAAATCCACACTCAAAGACGTGGTGTGCAGGACCGAATCTAGAAAGTTCAAATCTGGCTGATTCGGAGCGGTCAGGAGGAGGGAGGAGGTCTGAGGTTGGAGCTGACCTCCGCCATCCTGGGTCTCACTTCTTCTTGGGAGATCCCTTGAGTTTCTTCTGGAAGATCTGACCTGGATCTCCCCCTCCTGATCCGCTGGTCTCCTTGTCTCCACCGCGTTCTTGCCTTGTCGGGCCTCACAGGCCTGGTTGGTCCCACAGCTCCCGTGGCTTGTTCTGTTCCCTTGGGCAGAGGCATCAGCCTGAGATGGACAAACAAGGAATAAAACTGGGGTGGGCTGGGCCCCCAAGTCTGATAGAAAGACACACATCAGCCACATTTCTGATCCTCAGAAGGAACTGCTGTTCTGATCCTTCCAAAAGGTTTTTGTAAATACGTGGCTATATATGAATGAATACATGCTGCAGTTGATTGTTCTGCTGACTGCACATTGTTTTATATCGCTTACTAGATGTACCGCTGTGGATACTGGGGAAGACTCCCTAGAGCCAGCACTGACGTGGACTCAGAGTGCTCCGTGAAACAGGCACCGTGGTGCAGGTCTGTAATCCCAGCGGATCCGGAGGCTGAGGCAAGAGGATCGCACGTTCAAAGCCGGCCTCAGCAAAAGTGAGGCCCTAAGCAACTCAGTGAGACCCTGTCTTTAAGTAAAATACAAAATAGCTGGGGATGTGGCTCAGTGGGTGAGTGCCCCTGAGTTCAATCCCCAGTTCCAAAAAAAAAAAAAAAAGAAAGTTTCCCTGAGCATGACACTTGTCATTTGGTGATTTTTTTTTTTTTTTTTTTTGTTCCATGAGCTTAAATGAAATATTTTTTGTTTGTCTGACGATTTTTTACTTCTTTCTTTATCTGGGGATTTTTTCCTCTACTAAGAAAACCAGTTATTCAAAACTGCTGGGATTGTACTTCTGTCTTTCTCCGTGTTTAGATCAGCTAGTTTGTATGTCTTCAAGAAGTAAAAATTCTACCCTGTTGTGTACCTTTCTGAAATGCAGATTCAGGATTTAAGCACTGCTCAGAGCTATGGAAAAGATAATCAGATCAACCGTCTAGCTTTTACACACTGGCAAATGATAAATCTAAATAAAACTGCCAAACCTTTAAGGATCTTCTCGTCCATTTTTTGGAATGCTGATGTACATGTGTACCGATGTTGGTGATTTGTCTGTTGACTTATAGATAATGACTGCTCCCATAAATTAAAAACTGTTCAATTAGCCCAAATGCCTTTTGATTCTCATGACGTAAGTAAATATTTAACAAGTTAAACTCGTTGGTGAAATCAAAGTAAGGATAGCTTTAAGGTCACTGGCACATGTTGCCACCTGGGCTGTAGGCCTGCCAATCAACCAGGGAAATATTGGTCTCTGTTAAACGTTTAACATACAACGTTCACTGCTTTCTATATAAAGCAACTTTTAGGGTTTTGGCAATAAATACATAAATAAATTTTTTTTAGTTTAGCAATGAAATGTTAACAGAAGAAAGTCCACAGATATAGAAAAGACACACTCATGCACATGTATACACAAACATATACACATACACTAGGTATTTACGTGCTTTCTTGAAGGACCATTTTAGTTTAAAAAAATTTTTGATTTTACACTAAACTTAGTGTAAAAATTTTTGCATTAAAGATTTTTTTTCTTCTTTTTTTAGTTATATGTGACAGTAGAATGTATTTTTTTAAAAAATATTTACTTTTTAGGTGTAGATGGACACAACACAATGCCTTTATTTTTATGTGGTGCTGAGGATTGAACCAGGGTCCTTGCCCGTGCTAGGTGAGCGCTCTACCGCTGAGCCACAACCCCAGCCCAGTAGAATGTATTTTGACATATCATATACATGGCGTATAACTTCCGATTCTTGTGGTTGGACATGACATGAAGTTACGCTGGTCATGTATTCATATGTGAACATGGGAAAATTATGTCTGATTCATTCTGTCATTCCCATTTCTATCCTCCTCCCTTCTCCTCATTCCCCCCTGTCCAATCCTGTTAACATATACTCCCCTGCCCCATTGTGGGTCTAGCAACCACATATCAGAGAGAACATTCAACCTTTCACCTTGGGGGACTGGCTTATTTCACTTAGCATGATAGCCTCCAGTTCCACCCATTTACCAGCAAAATGCCATAATTTCATTCTTCTTCATGGCTGAGTAGTATTCCATTGTGTATATGTACCACTGAAGTTTTTGGTTTCGCTCTTAAACTGTCCTCTCAAGAAAGCAAATCTTTTTTTTATCCCAACAGGCTTTTTATTCTGATTTTCCTTTTTTTTTTTTTTGAGCATGCAAATGTAAAGGACAGAAAAGGCTACTTGCTCATCCTATGAGCCCTCTACACTTTAATGTTAGTGTTTAGTAATGTTTACTAATGTTTACGTCTCAAAAATATTTGAGTGAATGGTTTCATTTAGAAATTAGTAATTAAATTTTGCATCTGTGGATATGGGGAGAAGAAAAGTAGCATACATTTTTTCCAGATTAGACATTTGTATTGACAGATAATTTACAGACCATATTATGTGTTAGCTCTTATTTTTAGAAAAGCTTCAAAAATGGTTTGGGTATTTTAATTGGAATTATGTTATAATTTTATTACTATCATTGTTTACTTTTAGGAGAAATCTGATATTTTTATGCAAAGCAATCTTTCAATCCAAAAACAAGATATGCTGTTCCACTTACGTTGTCTTTAACTAGATCACTCAGCAGTTATCTGTTAATTAAACTCTTATGAATTTTACCTATTTCTTGTTGATTTTACTTTAGGCTTTTTATACTCTTGAAATTATCATTTGGAATTTTTATTTCATTATATTTCTCAGTTGACTATTTTAGCACATGGGATAAATATTGGGTCTCACCCTGATTGATTCTTGTTCCCAAGTATTTCACAGAGTTATCATTTCTAATATTATCAGTTAATTCTCTTAGATTTTCTAAGTGTACGATCATATCTATGGAAAATTCCACTTTCTTCTACCAATGTATTGTACACATGCTTTTTTCTCTTCCTAAATTCATTGGATGATCTTTCTAGAACAATGTTGAATAATTGTGATGATAATAGGCACCCTTGCTTTATTCACAGATCTAACAGGAAGACTTTGAGTTTCACCATTAACTGTGAGGCAGCCTTCTAAAGTAAGAGATGTGCTTATAACATCAAGAGATTATCTACTATATAAATCACTAAGAATTTTGTTTACTATGTATTTGGAAGTAGATATTGATTGGGGGGGGGTGAGGGGATACTAGGGATTGAACCCAGGGGTGCTCTACAGATAAACTACATTCCTAGTCTTTTATTTTGAGGAAGGGTCTCACTAAGTTGCCCAGGCTGACCTGGAATTTGTGATCCTCCAGCCTCAGCCTCCTGAGTTGTTGGGATTACAAGCCTGTGCCACCATGTCTGGCAAGATGCTGGATTTTTAAAACATCTTCCTGGTGTTGTTTTGTTCCCTTTTCAGTTATTATAATGAATTATATTAACATATTTCCTAATAATAAGATTTGCAACCCAACCTGAGTGTGATGTGTATTAATATTCTGCTGAATCCTGTTTGATATTATCTTATGTAAAATTTTTTCATAGATGCTCATAAAGAGGATTTATCTGCAATTTTTTATTCTTTCTTTGAAAAAGCTTTGATAACAATGCTATATTGGTTTTTATTATGTAAGCAGGTTTCTTTCTCTATGATGAAAAAAATTAAATATGCCTACATTTTTTTTCTTGAAGATTAAAAAAATAGTTAATGTGATACCTGACCTGATATGTGGCTTCCTAATAATATTTTCGGTGTTTTTCATGACTATTATTCTACTTATTTAATTGTCTCTTCTTACATAAAATTTGGTAATTTGTATTTTCCTAGAAAATGATCCATTCAAAGTAGGTTTTCAAACGCTGTATATTTCTTCATTCTCCCTTCCATCTTGATCAGGCTATTCAATGGTGTATCTATTTATTTTTCATGGAAAAGCCTTTGAGTTTATTCATATATTCTATTGTGAAGTTTTGGATTGTTTATTCATTAGTATCTGCTTTTATCTTAATTGGTTTTATTGACATTTTCTTCAGTTCTTAACATCAATGCCTATTTCATTCACTTCTAGTTTTTCTTCTTGTTACTCTTTCCAAGTGTTTAATGAATTTCCCTGGGAACAATTTTAGTCGTATCCCTGAGATTTGGATATGTAGTGTTTTTCTTATCATTTTGGGGTCTCAATGTTTCTTTTTTTTTAATTTCTCTTTTGTCCTCAAAATTGATTTAAAGAGGTATTTTTAATTACCTGTTGATAAGATTTTTCCCCTCATCTTGTGATTTTTTTAAAAAAACTAATGTGATTGCATTTGTAATTGTCCCAGATCGTCTTTCTGACCTAAAAGACGGCTGACTTCTGCAGAGGATCCACGACTACTTAAAAGGAAGTGAGTCCTCTGTTCCTGGGACCCAGAGTTCAGTCTCCATGATACCATTCAAACCGAACGCTTCCTCATTCTTCATCCACTTGATCTGCTCGGTCTAAAGGTGTCATCTGTGATTGTCATTGTGCTGAGGTTTACTTCTCTTTGGTTTCCTGCCTGCCTGGGCATCGGGTACTTTGATGCCATAATATTCAATTCCAGAGATTTACGAGGCTTGGAGACCTACATTTTAACCACTTCCACTTTGGTTCATTCAGTGCTGATTGTCTTGACAGATCTTGTCCGTCCTTTCACTTTTAACTTTCCAGAACCACTTTCTTTGAGATACGTCCCTTAAACATAATGTGTGGTTGACTTTGGGCTTTGTGCCAAACATAAAATTCCTTTTATTTTATCCCACGACCACTTTTCCCTTCCTAACACTTTTTGGTTTTGTCTGTCTTGTTTTCCTTCCTTTTCATTTTGTAACCTTGTGCAGCCTTGATCCCTCAGTTCCTGGCTCACTGCCATTCTTGGTCCACACCAATTTTTATCTCTCGTTTCCTTTATTTATATATATATATATATATATATATATATATATATATATATATATATATATATTTATTCACTATTCCCTTTTCCTAGCATCTCAGTCATTGTAATGTGCTTGATGTGTGTCCTTCACTTATGTCTCATTTCTACGGAGCCTAAAACATCTATTTCCATACAGTATTGAGCTACACTTTGCACTATTTTTCATCTCCCTGTGTTCTGTGCACATCTAGGTTATTGCTTCTAACGTTGCCGATTACTCCCCCAGCAGTGGACACCTCACTTGCCCCCAACCTGTCACAACAATGACCACTGACAAACTTCGCTGTCCCATCCTGGGTCTGTGTGAGACTTTCTCTTTCTCTCCTACCCAGGGGAAGGACTGGTAGAACGGGTCATGCCAGCTGGTCCCCAAAGTGGCTTCTACCCCCAACAGTAAGTGGACATTTCCTAACCCCAAATCCCAACCAGCCCTTGGCACCATTCAGTACTCTGATTTTGCCAATCAGATGGGATAAAGAGAGACATCGAACGGGTGTTGGTTGCCATTTTTCTGATTATAAGCATCTTTGAAAATGCTTGTCATCTTTTGGGGTTTCCTTGTCTATGAAATAACTGCTTTATGTCCTTTCCCCGTTTTATTAATAGAAGTTCTGTCTTTTCCTGGTGGATAACACAGGAGCTACTGTTTCCTCTAAATAAGTCCCTTGTTTTACATTTAGTAAACATCACCTCCCACTCTCATCATCAGCCAATTTTGTTCAGAGTGGCATTTGCTGAGCAGACTTTTTTTTTAATTATTTTTCTGAAATCAAATTTATTAGGTTATTTTTCGTCCTTTAACTTGTGTTTTTAGTTTTGTTTAAGAATTCGTTTCTTCCAGGCTAACAGTGACTTGGGAGGCTGAGGCAGGAGGATTGCAAATTTGAGGCCAGCTTGGGTGACTTGGGGAAACTCAGTCTTAAAATAAAAAAAATCAAAAAGGCTGTGGATGTAGCTCAGGGTAGAGGGCCCTTGGGTTCAATCCCCAGTGCTGCAAAAAAGAAAAAAGAGAAGAATTCCTTTGTGACTCAAAGTCACGATGACATCTTCCCAGATTCTCTTCCTTTAATTTTATAGTTCTCCTGTTTATGTGTTTATCTTTTAGGGTCTACCTTTATATTTGATTTTAGGTGTATGTCCAATTTTTTCTCCATAAAGTAATCCAATTTTCCCAGGATCATGTAACAACCATACATTTCCTGTTTTCTTGAAGTATCACTTTACACTGGGCACAGTGGCTACATGCCTGCAATCCCAGTAACTCAGGAAACTGAGGCAGAGGATAGAGGCCAGCCTGGACAACTTAGCAAGATCCTCAACAAACTTAGCAAGACTCTGTCTCAGAATCAAAAATAAAGAGGACCAGGGATAGAGCTCAGCACCCCTGAGTTCAATCCCCAGTTCCAAAAGAGAAAAAAAATTGTTAGTGTTCATATATATGCAGGGTCTACTTATGACTCTCTGTTCTGCTCCACTGGTTTATTTGTTTGATCTGATACATACATTATTGATTTATGCACACATTGATTGTATTGTTTCTAATCTTTAGCATCTGATAATAGAAGGCCCTTATTTGTTCTTTTTTTTTTATCAGTTAACCTTGCCTCTGATAGGTTTTTGTTATTCTATAAAAACTTTATAGTTAATATATCGGATGGTTCAGAAAAAAATCCAGACAAAATTTCCAGTGGAGTTTTACTGAATTTATCAATTAATTTGAAAGATGCAGACTGGTGATTCCTACCATATCCCTGTTCAACCCCCCTATTTGGCCTGTGCAAAAGACAGATGTGTTCTGGAGAATGCAGCAGCCACTCCAGATGTGGTTTTGTTACATTCAATTCACTTCCTATGAGCATCTGCTGTGTAGCTTTCAACCAGGTAAGTGCCTTTCCCCCCTTTTATTCCTGGTAGTTGAGACCACCAAAGGCCCTTGAAATTCACTTTCAGTCTCCCAACTTAAGAGTTGTGACAACTCTCCAACCCTCTGCCCTATCAGGGACTTTACTTTCTCCACTCCATAGACATCCTAGCAGTCTATTCTATCAATGACATCATGTTGCTTCGACCTGAGAACAAAGAAGCAACTCTAGACACTGTAGCAAGACACGTGCAAGCTGAAGGGTGGTGAACAAACTCCATCTTGGTGAAATTTTTGGAGGTCCAGGGTTTTTTAGACACTTAGAAACATGACTTCCAAGACAAAGGACAAATTTTAGAGAAAAACCATTTCCTTCTCTGTATATAACTCTTTTTCTTTTTGAAAAACAACTTCTGGCTTTGTTACAAGGCCCCAGTAGAAACTGAACCCTTGTCCATCAGCCACTAAGTTGCCTGTGACCTTGGCTGCCTGTCATGAAGTGGTATGACTTGACTTAGTAAACCAAAATTTTCTCATGCACAGCAAAGCCATATTATCATCCATCTCCTGTGATAAAGACCAGAGCAGGGGGCTGGGATTGTGGCCCAAATTCACCCGAGTGACCTCAGTTCAGTAGCCTGCGATGGACGGGGGCTACAGAGAGGATTTTTAAAAAGCAAACTAATTAATCTGAGGGCCACACAGTCTTTCTCTACTAGAGACACTGCAGCTCTGTGACACCTGAATGTTTTGAGTATGGAAGAAAAGATGTCAACTACTCCGACATCCCTTAAGAATGAAAGGAGGTGTTTGGGTTTTGGTAAAACAAAACACAACCCAACAACAACAAAATGCTCAAACTTTGACAAGTCAACACAGGATCCAGTGGCCAAGTCCAACCATCGAAGAAACAGCTCAGAACCTTAACAACTTCTAAACAAGGAAGACCTAAGTTCAGGACAAGCCAGGCTCAGTGGTACGTGTCTATAATCTCAGGAGACTGAGATGGGAGGATCTCAAGTTCAAGGCCAGGCTGACCTTAGTGAGACCCTGTCTCAAAATCAAAAATAGAAAGGGCTGTCAATGCAGCTCAGTAGTACAGTATACCTAGGTTCAATTCCCAGTACAAAAGAAGGAGGAGGAGGAGGAGGAGGAGGGGGAGGAGGAGGAGGGGGAGGAGGAGGGGGAGGAGGAGGAGGGGGAGGAGGAGGAGGGGGAGGAGGAGGTGGTGGAGGAGGAGGAGGAGGAGGAAGTTCAGGGCAAATTTAGCTCTCTTTATGGGGCTGGAATGGGGGAGGAAATGAACTGCTTTGTGGAAAGAAGGCAGAATACCTCTATTAGGAGAAAGCTCTTTGACTACAATGCCCTCCGACCACATCTTTGAAAGGGAGACGTAAGTCGTAGTCATTGTGCCCTGTAGTCTGTGTGTCCCAGGCTCTGGCGCTGAGGACATATTATGCTTCTCACCAGAAACACGAGTCCTACTGTGCTGTGAAACGTGTCTGGATCTGCTCTAGAGCTCATCTGACCTCCTATCCTAAAAGCCAGATGCTAATAGTCCCTGGAGGAGAGTCCAAGAACCCGATCTTTCCAGAGATGAGGGGTCCACCTTCATTTCTGCCTTGTCAGAAAGGGCAGAGCTCGGGCTGAAGCAAGCTCATTGGCTTCCCATTCTGGATACAGGGGGTGGGGAGGCTCCAGGTGTACTGATGTCAGAGGGGGGACAGGAAGGTCACGGGGTGTGGGAAGAGCGTCGTCAACTATCTCAGATGCATGTAAACAGTGAGCATCTGAGAGCCTGTCTGTCATAGTGAGGGTGAGCAGAAACAGAAATATTTGTTTCTTCTTTTCTGTTTTGTTCCTAAAAATGGGGTACTCCTTGAAAGCAACCAGGTCCTATCAGCCATCCTGGTCTCCTCTATTTCCCATTGGTGCAAAAATCTGGGGCAGATATGACATTCTAGTAACCTTAAGATTTAAAATGTCTCCACATTCCTGTATCTTTGTCCTCCCAGTCAGTAAAACCACCATATATTCTCTGTAGTTATAGAGTGTTCGTCAGTTAGCCATAAAGGTTATGGGATAAGTAGGTGGGGTAAGTAGGATGATTCCTTCTGATACCAAGCTGATAATCAACTAGGAACCCCACTCTATAAACCTGGGACAACACAGTTAGAGACCAGTATAGGCTGGAGCAGAGAGAACCCTCCATCAAGAAAATGGTTAGTCTTGCCGGGTGGGTTGGTGCACGTCTGTAATCCCAGCGGCTCAGGAGGCTGAGGCAGGAGGACTGTGAGTTCAAAGCCAGCCTCAGAAAAAGTGAGGCACTAAGCAACTCAGTGAGACCCTAAATAAAATATAAAATAGGGCTCTGGATGTGGCTTAGTGGTCAAGTGCCCCTGAGTCCAATCCCAATCCCCCCCCTAAAAAAAAAAAAAGAGGAAAGAAAATAATTGGTCTTGAGATAAATTGGGAAAACAGGAAAAGAAAGATGAATTTGGGGTGCTCAATAGTAACCTTTAAATCAGGGTCAACAGCCTCCCTCATGTCTACCCAGTGAGCTCCCAGATGCATGCCCAGTGATGTCTCTGGAGTCACCCACCCTGACCTTCCTGAGTTCCCAAAGTGATCTGCATTGAGATGCCACATATTCCCTAATGAGGAGATAGGGGTTTTGCCTTCCTCCACAGAAATCCATTCAAAATGATTCTAATTTCAAGTAGCAGATTCTGTGGTTTCTCCCGGATCCCCTGTCTGCAGTAAAGGACTCACTTCTTCCCGACTTCTGGGATTCTACCAGCAGATAGCCTTCAGTTATCACCCTTTTTAGGCAAGTGTCTTGGCCACTTATCCAAAGTCACCCTCCCTTTACAGAGCAATGTCAACACTAGGCTATAAAGGCAAGGCCCCGTCACCCCACCTCAGCACACCTGGAGAGATCATCCCAGAACGCAGGCTGTGTATGGGGTTGGCTGAGATGAGACCTTCAGGATGAAAACTCAGCTTTGGTTTCTCCCTGAGAGCTTCGTCCTTTCCTTCTGACGGTTTTTGATTCTGAGATACCCTGGAAAACACGTCCTATCTGTTCACTTCCATCTCCACACCTACCTCCCTGAAAACCCAACCCACAACATCTGGTGCTCCCCCAGTGATCTCCATGTTGACACTGATGGTCAAGTCCCAGACCAACGCCCTCCCCAGGGCAGGGTGAGTGCTCAGGGTCAAGGTCCCAGGGGAGGCCACATTCTATTGGTGTGGGGAGGGCACAGGACAGGTGGGGAGAGGATGCATTTCCCAGAGAGTGAACTCAGGATCTGTGTTGTAAGAGAGAAGGACCTTGGGAAGAGCTGCGGCCATATTTTCAGGGGGCAGAACACATACCACTGTGGAAAAGTACACTTACATTCGTTCACTCAACCAGTAATTCTCAAGCGAGGGCCAAAAGTATCTTGTCAGCAGATGAACACACAAAGAAAATGCTGCATATAACACAATGGATGTTTATGGATATTATGGTTTGGATGTGAGGTGTCCCCCCAAAACGTTCATGAGATGGACAATACGGTAATGTCCACAGGTGAAATGATTAGACTATGAGAGCTGTCATCTAATCAATGGACCAATACAGTCGATGGATTAATGATTTGAAAGGACTGCTGTACTGGGTAGTAACTGGAGGCAGGCAGGGTATGTGGCTGAAGGAAGTAGGTCACAGAGCGTCTGCCTTTAGGGTTTGTGTTTGTCCCTGGCACCTTCTCTCTCTGCCCCCTGGCAGCCGTGAACTGAGCTGCTCTCTCTCCTCTGTGGCACCCTTCCACCACGATGCTCTGCCACATCTCGGGCCCAGAGCAACGGAACCAGCTGACCGTGGACTGAACCTCTGAAACCGTGAGCCAAAATCAACGTTCGCTAACACAATGGAGTTTATTCAGCCATAAAGATAGAACCAAATCGTGTCACTGACAGGAAAATGGATAGAACTTGAGAGGCTTATGTTAAGCCCACCAAGCTAGACTCAGATAGTCAAGAGTTTCACGTTTTCTCTCATATGTGGGAGCTAGAGAGAAAAAAGGAAAAGAAAAAAAAAAGGTGTGTGTGTGTGCGTGCGTGTGTGCGCATGTGTGTGTGTGCACGCGCGTGTGTGTGTGTGTGAGAGAGAGAGAGAGGTCTCTCAGGAAAACAGAAGGAAGACTAGGCTATACTACAGTACAAGGGATCAGGGGGAGGAGGAAGGAGAGAGGAAGGGTAAGTATTGGGGGGGTCGTTACATATGTGACTATATCACAGTCAATCCCACTTTTATGAATAATCACAATGCACCCGTTGGTAAAATTAATTAAAATGTTTAAAGCTTCTACAGTCACTTTCTGTCCATCAGTTCTCAGCAAAAGAAACAGACTCACAGGGCAATATAAACACCGAGAGATTCATCGTAGGGAGGTGGCCTTGTACGTCTGTGAGAACTGTTGAAGTCTATGGAAGACTAGTTCTTCTCAGTGTGATGGGGCAGCCAAAGCCCACAGGCAGGCAGTTGAAGGAAGGGAAGATACATGGACGCTGCAAGAATGAGTGAACCTCTGAACATGACCTGGAGCCCACATCTGTCACCTCCAGCTGACAAGCCACGATGAGCGTGTCCTGCAGAAGGTGACACCCTCCATCACTAAGCTAAACATGAAGAAGGCCAGGAGAAAGAAGGCGGGGAGTAGACTGTGGGAGCTGGAGTTGCTTCCTACCACTGCCCCACAGCAGCAAAGAGAGCTAGCTAATATGAGAATGAGCTGCTACAGGATCTTGGGTGTCAATGACCCTCTAAGTAAGACAAGAAAGTAGCTGCTGCATCATCTCCACGTTCCAAATATTGTGCAAGATGTCTCTTGGGGTCCATGCTAACCTGGGACTATGCAGGGCAGGGAGTTCTGGGAAACACAGTTCCAGTTTAGAAAGTTGACCCAATATCTGTTTAGCACATTTCTCATCCTTGCTCCTACTCTATCCCCTAAACTGGAAACATGATATCAAAATACCATGAATTTTGTTAGACAGACTTGGGTTCATCTCCAGCTCTACCAGATATACACCTTTAGGAAAATCACCTTATCTTGTAGAATCCCTCCATTTCCTCTTTATAACATGAGCATGTTAATTCCCTTGCGTGACTAGCACAAACAGTCTTGGGGGTTCCAGCAAGGGGCAATAGGGAGTTAGAAAACAAAGACTCACAGGTGCAGATTTTGAAGATAAATAGCTGGGATCAGGTGGAGTGCTGCTCTCTGATGTAGAAGCAGATCTGAAGAGTTACTCTAGCAATCCTTATTTATACCTTTGTATAAAGGGAAGTCACAGAACTAGAAACATCTGTCGCTTTTCCACAGTGGCAATGTGCAATGTTAGGAGCTTTCTTTAAAGCTCCAGCAAGTTCATTTTTTAAAGTTACCATTAAGCAGGCAACAGCAGAAGTCACAGAGCTGGTGAAACATTGCGGTTGTCTAGCAGGAGAGTTCCTCTATTCTCAAGATCAAGCTCAAGACTGATAAGACTCTTGCACAGAGCTTCCTCATGCAGGGCAAAAGCATCCTGTGCCCTTGCACGGGAACATTCCCAGGCACTAGGCACGCCACAGCCATAAGATCATCAGAGACCCCAGTCTCAGACACTGCTCTTCCATTCTCTGTCATTGCTCTCCACATTCCCATTTTGTTATTTTGTTGAATTCAAGTTGGACTTGAGCGTAAAGACATAAAGTTCCCTTAATAAGCACGAGTTTCCTTCCCTCTCCTTCCTTCCTTCCTTCCTTCCTTCCTTCCTTCCTTCCTTCCTTCCTTTTTTCAGTGCCGGGGATGAAACCCAGAGCCTAACACATGCTAGGCAAGCACTCTGCCACTGAGCTACATCCCCAGTCTTTGTTTGTTTATTTTGAGACAGGCTCTCACTAAGTTGCCCAGACTGGACTCAAAACTGACAATCCTCCTGGCTCAGCCTCCTGAGCAGCTGGGATTACAGGCCTACACCAACACACCTAGCTTCCCTCTCTTTCCATGAATTACTTACTGTTCCAGAATCTAGCAAGGACTGAATAATACCTTTATCACTCAATCCACACCTGTCATCCTTCCCTCCTGAGGACTTCTCAGGACTTTGTCACATGTTGGTACACAATAGAAGAAGCATGTCCTTTCCCACTCACGGGTGCTGCCCAAGCCCTGGGTCTTCTATATGCCATCCTCGAGCCAACCAAAGAACCCTTGCAATATGCCTGTGTCGCATAGACTCCCTTCCATGTGGACTTCACAATATGGCTGGGCCTTTGCTGCCCAAAGCAACATTCAGACACCCAGTCTGTATCCCCTGGCCTTTGGTGGATGATTAGCTTTTTAGATCATTGATTCTCAACTTTGCTACACATTGGAACCATCTGAGAAGTTATAAAAGAGTGCTGATTCTAGGGTCCCACGTAAAAATCCCCTGGGGGTCTGAGGTGATGCTAAGGGATCAAGATTTTGTACTTTGGATCAACCCCCATGTGATATTAGTATTCAGCTAAAGTGAAAACCATGACTTTAGGTCTTACAGGACCCCACACACTCAGTGTCCCATGACGGAACGTAGCCTTATTCATTATGATCAGTCTCTCTGCTGTTTATTTTCTTTGGACCTTGGAGAAGGAATGATATATATTTGATATTATAGAGCTGCCATGACAAAGTGCCACAGATGGGTGGTTAAAACAATGCCCATTTATTTTCTCATAACTCCAGAGGCTGAAAGTCCAAGATTGAGGTATTAGCACAACGGGTTTGTTTGGGGGTCTCTCTCCTTCATTTGTCTTCTCCTGTGTCTTCATGTGGTTTTTCCTTTGTGTGTGTGTGTGTGTGTGTCCTACCTTAATCCCTTCTCATCAGCACATGGGTAGGATTGGATTAGAGCCCACTCTAATAGCCTCCTTTTAACTTAATCACCTCTTTAAAGACCTGGTCTCCAAGTGCACTCACATTCCAAGGTCTAGTACTGGGAGTTAAGATTTCACAGGATTTGGAGTATGAAACTCAGCCCATTAGTGGTCTCTTCTATTATCTCTTCTTTGGCCAATTTAAAGTTTACTCGTGGCCACTTCACATCTAACTACAGCAGTCTGACACAGGCCTCACTCCTTCCGTCTTTGCAGGGATAGACTTGACCTGCCTCCTTGTCTTCCTAGTAGCCTTTCTCCCCAGTTCCCCGGACACTCTCAGGGCTCACTTTAGCTCTGCCGCCATGTTGCTTCTTCTTGGTCTTCTTTGCATTAATTTTCCTCTTATTCTGCCCTCCAACCTTCCTGCTCTCAAGGATCCCGCCACTACCCCAGCTTTAACTATGGCTTCTCACCAAGTGATTCAAAAACCTGTATCTTTTTTTCTCCTGGGCTCCAGTTAAAAAAAAAAAAAACTTTATTAAGTTAAAATTAACAAATAAAACTTGTCTATATTTAAGGCACCTACCTGATGTTCTGATGTACATATAATTTGTGAGATGGCCACCACAATCAAACTAGTGAACACATACGTCACCTCCCATGGCTACCATTTTAGTTTTTTCCATAGCCTTCCTCCTCCCTTTCCTCCTCATCTTCTTCTTCATAATTAGGACATTTAAGATCCACCCACTTGGCAAATTCCATATTGTTAACTCCAGTCACCATGGGCCCATACTGAGCTTCGGGTTTAAAAGCCTTTTCTGCTACTAGAAGTTTCTATCTGGGCATGCTGAAGTTACTTCAGCTCAACCCATCTTAAATCAAAAACCTCTTCTTCCACAAAACTAGTTCCCCTTCTCCCTATCATAGACTTCAGCGTTCTCTCACTTCCCTTTCCTTTGCTGCCAACGACAGCATCTATCATTACTTCCCTATTCTAGAAGCTTACAATTTTCTTTCATCCCGTTTCTACCCACTTTCCTACACCATTATCACTCACAGAAAGGTGTTCCCATCAGTACGGAGCCCAAAGTTCTCCTTTAGTAGAGCAGAAAGCCCATCAGTGGTCTCTGGTGTCCAGAGTCCATTAACTCTGAGCCCCATGCAAACTGCCCACCTAGGCTGCCAGTCTGGGCTGCTGAGTGCCGTGGGCTTACAGGACACAGTCTCTGGTCACTGAGACAAGACCCCTCACCCTGAATTAACACATGAACATGACCATTTCCACTCTGCATGCAATAGCACACTTATATGTGTTTGGGGTGGGAATGATTTGAAACTCTGTCTTCCAGGTGACCAGATGTCTATTCCACACCCCTTGATCATCTTGGGATCTCCTAGGCTGAGAACTTACACTCTATCACATAGAGGGCTTCAGTGAGGAAAGGCAAGGAAAATCGACCTCAAAGCACGCCTCCCTCCCCCGCCTCCTTTTTTAAACACTGAGAGCTAAAAGTAAGCAATAAAGTACTGAGTAGAGGAAAATTTGCCTTGCAAGGACACCTGATTCTCAGTTTT